AAAACATTGGGCCTGTCTGCGGGCCTTCGTCATTTAATGGGTTAAAGGAAAATCTAAAACAGGTGTCCGCATTATCACAGAATCAAGCTTTAACCCCCATTAAAACCTGAGGGGTGAGTGGAAAAGGAAAGACCAAAAGAGAGGAACTAGGACCATGGACAATCTTGAGAGTGTCTGCATTGAGGAATGTTTTGAGATTCTGCCATCTGTAATCTGTAATCCCCCAGTGCCATTAAGTAACATAAGAGAAGACTCATTGCTGTCATGCTGGCAAAATAAGGCTGCACAAAGGGGAGACAATAATTGTGACACATGGTTTTGTCACAGCTAGGTTTGTGGACTTTGGCTTAGCTTTTAACACCATAGTGCCAGAGCCTCTGCAGGTCAAACTGTCCCAGCTATCTGTGACAGATCCCATCTACTGGCAGATTCTTTTTATGACATACTTGAACATACTTGTGACACTTGGACTGTCTACTGGAATACCACAAGGTTGTGTCCCTTCTCTTCAGCCTCTACACCAATGACTGCATCTCCAAGGAACTGTCTGTGAAAATCCTGAGATTTGCAGATGACACCACTGTGGTCAACCTCATGACCAATGTGCCTACAGAAAAGTTGAACAGCAGGTGTCCTAGTGTAGTTATAGCCACTTCATGCAGGAAGATTGTGAACATGGTGGTTGACTTCTCTGCCTGTCATAAACATCAATGACTTTGTGGTTTCCAATGTGGAGTCACTCAAATTCCTGGGCACCACCATATCCAGGGACCTGAAGTGGGAGTGGAACATGTCTCCACAGCAAAGAAAGCATTGCAGACAATGTTCTTTCATAGACAACTAAAGAAATTCAATTTGCTGCAGGCCCAGATCATCCAGTTCAGTGCAGAGATTTTCAAATCCACTTTCACTTTATGACTAAATATAGCTTAATAGCTTAGGTGGCATAGCTTAGGTGTGTCAGAGATTCAAATGAAATCAAGTTATACTTTGAGATGAAGAAGACATTCCACATTTCTGGCCTCCAAAGTCAAAACGGCCCTTGCGTCGTAGATGGATGATGAAAACAAGCCTGCTAATGAGGCCGAAATGCTTGTGCAGAGGATTACTTTGGAGGATTTGGCTGGTATGGTTGCAGCCTTCAGCAATAAAATGGATCCAGTGATTTTAAAGCTGATTCATTGAAGTGGAGGCACGGATGGCTGCAGTGGAGGATACCGTTGGCAGAGAAAGCATGGAGCTAACTCCAATGCAGCCCCTGAGAAAATTGACAATTTAGAGAACAGAAGCAGATGTTGCAATATCTGAATCATCGGGCTGCCTGAGGGTGAGGAGGGCACAAACCTAGTGTCTTTCCTTAAGTCGTGACTTCCAAAGCTGTTGAATCTGGATTTCAATGAGGGCTGTGTCAATGTGGACAGGGCTCACTGTGCTCCACCACACTGCCCAGCCACAGAGGAAAGACTGCAGGCATTGATTCTGAAGCTTCACAACTTTCAAGATAAAGTGCAAATCATGCAGGCTGCGAGGGCTGCGGGTCAGCTATCCTACAACTGCAACTCTGTCCACATATATGAGTACTTGCTTGTGGCGATTATGAGGAAAAGACAAGCCTTCTTCAACATAAAGAAGCAGCTTCACGAGAGGGGAATTCTTTTTGCAATGCTCTACCTGGCAACACTGAAGGATCAGCATAACAACCTGGCTAAGTTCTTCAGGTATCCGCAGGAAGCCAGCTTAGTCAGTCCCGGGTCTACACTTCTGTGCAATATAACCTTTCATTCCACAAGCACTTGACTGGGTATAGTGTGTTATACACTGGCCACTTCCTTCTGTGTCGTTTGACATCTCCAGCTTGACTCACTAAAATTACTGGACTCAAAAGTTGAAGCCGCAGCTAGAAAACATACATAATGGCCATATGTTTGTTCTCCTGATAATATATAAGCGTATGATGAAAAAAATTGTTTCTGAGTATAGAAATGTGCCTAATTGTTGGTAAAATTACATTTGTAAAAGGGAGTCCTTCTCTTTTTTTCATTTGGGGGCTTGCTGGAACGCACTGTACTACCAAAACTGATGACCGATTTCTCAAGTGTTTTTCTCTGTGCTGTTTAAAGCTCTGTAACTTTTGACTATTATAACTTGGTCTTGCAGTATTTCCTAGAGTAATGGGGGATACAGCTTGTTGGTCCTTGGAGTGAGCATGGCCAGCACCAGACCTCGCTTGTTGCATAATAATTGGACTGATTTTTAAATTGTGAACAGTTCCTTTTTTAAAGTTTGGCATACAGAGTGACTCAATTCTGTTTTTCTTTCCATTGTTCATAGGTATTTTGCGTTTTTTTTTTACTTTATATCTCTCATCTTATGTGGTGGTACTTTAATTATTGCTCAGTCTTATATGCATGTATAAGATTACAGTATTGGTGATATAACTATATCAGACCATGCACCTAGTTATCTTAATTTGAAAACATCTAACTTGATACAAGGCATTTGTTCTTTTTCTTTCATAGGAGTTTGAAAAGATACATAAAAGAGTTTCAAAAATATATAAAAGAACAAATTTCTTTATTTCCCCAAACTTATAGTAGTCCACAAAGTTTCCCCAAATTTACTCTGGTATCTGCTAAAGCATTTATTAGAGGTATAATCATTTATTATGTTTCTAACTAGAGAAAAGCAGTGTTTAAGAAACAATGGGAGATGTAGCTTGAGCTGCATACTTTACAAGCAAGGAACAACGTACACCCGTTGGACAGTCTAAATGCCGAAATCAAGTTTTAACCAAAAAAAAAGCATTAAAAAAAAACTTTTTTTTCTAAACAACAATTATATGAATTTGAAAGACAGAAAGAAACCGCCAATAGATGCCATTCTTCTAATCTAGTTATTTCATCAGTTGAAGATGGAATTGGAAACGTTACCTATAATAATAAAGAGATCTTAATAAACAAGATCTTCAGTGCTTTTATTGAACAATTGTACCGTTCTCAATCCTTATCGACAGCTGCTGATATGACTGCCTTCTTTTGTGGCTGGCATTGTCTGAAAGGAACAGAGGTTGCTTCTAAATAGGCCAATTGAATTCAGTGAAATTTGGAATTGTATTGTAAATCTTCTGAATGGGAAAAGTCCTGGACTGGACAATTTTACCACAGAATACTTTTAAAAATTCTTAGACTCTATAATCAAGCCTATGTATAATATAATTCAGTTTTCATATAATGTTGGTAAATGGAAACCAATATTTCCTTGATATTAAAGAGGGCTAAGCTAGCTGATGAACGCATATCTTACTGACCTATTTCTTTGCTTAATGTGGACTTGATATGATATAGGTGAAGATTTTAGTCTTGCAACTTCAAGCTGTATTAACTACACTTATGGGTATCGATCAATCAGGCTTTAAAGGGAGGTACTCATAACGTAAAAAGACTGCTCAACATCATACAACATTTAAATCAATGTCCGAGGGGTGCAATGGTCATTTCAATAGACACCAAAAAGGTGTCCGACTGTGTCAAATAGCATTATCTTTTTGTAACGCTATCCAAATGTAACCTAGACAGTGAGTTTATTAAGGGTATTAGGAAATTTTAAGGGTATTAGGAAAACTATGTTAGATCCTCTAATTTTTATTTAGCTAGAGGCACAAGACAAGGCTGTTCTTTGTCTTCTTTTACTCTGGTCATCAAGCCCTTAGCAGTAGCCATTAGAGAGGACACATTATCCTTACATTTATATATGTATTATACATCTTTTAAAGGTGTCAGCCTAGGCATGAAAATGCATAAAATCTCACTTCATGCTGACAATATTTTTATTTATTTAGAATTGCCTACTGAATCCATTTCTAAGCTTGTACATTTAATCACTTGATTCGGGACCTTTTCTGGATGCAAGATCAATTTTGCAAAGTCTAAGGCTTTGACATTAGGTGGTGCTCGTTCATTAGGGCCTGCAGTCTCCCAGCAAAAGAGCCTTCTGCATATTCTTCTTCACTGTGCTTGCAAATGTATTCTATTACAGTGGGCCTGAGAACAAAGCCCCTCTACTGTGCAGCAGGTCAGTTTAGTGACCTAACGAAGCCCTGTCAACTGCTCTAAAGGATGAACTTCATAAATTGTTCAAAGTGTGGGACTCTTTTCTCAATTATCTTAGAGTGGAAAAGCCACAGAAGCTTGCTACCAGTCCAACCAGCGTAGCATGCAGAAAACATAAGACTCAAGAGTTTTTGTTTTTATCATTTTTAATTAAAGATAGTGATCTATGTTGTACTTTGAAGTTTTTTTTAAATATTTATTAACATTTTTAATGTATTTATAATATGTTGGAATTTGCTTTGTATAAGGTTAAGTGTTCATATAACAAGTTAATATTTGATCTGTATGTAACATGTGAGCGCTCTGTTATGCCACAAAAAATAAATAATACATAAAATGTAATGAATAAAAATAAGGAAAAAGTAAAGACTTCCAATCTCTGTCTATATAAAAGCTCAGTTCACCCTTAATCTTGATTTCTCCTACTTTTAAATGAATGGTTTTCCCAGACAGTTTTGCTGAAATTTTAAATGATTTCAAATCCATACTGGGGTGACTTGTGTTTAATTGGTACATTTAATCATGATAATTTATTATCTGATTACTTATTTTAATTTTCAGCTAATATATAGTATATTATCACTAATATACTATGGAAAGTAAACACACAGATAAAAATATAATCTTCATGGTTTTAATAATAATAATAATAATAATAATAATATTAATAATAACAACAACAATACATTTTAATCCCATTTAACTAACTCAAGGATGCTTTAATATAGAATTGTTTAATTCTTTGTCATTGCTTTGAACATATACAATAGCATGTAACATATCTGCAGAAAAAAATGCCAAACGCTGGGATCTATAACATCAAACAACCTGCAGTTCACAGAATCTAAAGTCAATGACACAATTGCCAATGCTGCAGCCTACATCACTGGATCAATGTGGTAAAATTTTTATATGGTTAAAGAATTTAAGAAACTGCTGCTTTATTTCTTTTGTTCTCACTCCATAAATAATTGGGTTGAAACAGCTTGGAAAAAGTAAGTACATTGTACTTAAAAAAGTACGGCTGTTGGCAGAAAAATCATTTTTAATTCTGTATGATAAAGAAGCTGTCAAAACAAATATTAAACTAAATGTGATGACGATTATATGTGTTATACAAGTGTTGATGGCCTTCATGCTGGACTTCCCTGATTTCATGACAGAAGCAAATATAATTATATAAGATACAGTAATAAAAATAAAATCTGTAGTTGGTATTAGAAGAGTACACAAAAGTCCAAGTAAGTTGTTCACAGAAATATTTCCACATGCTAGCTGGGTCAATCCCATGTTTTCACAAAAACAGTGATCTATCTCATTTTTCATACAAAAATGTAGTTTTCCAGCCAAAGAAATCACAGCAATATTTAAGAGTGTATTTCTAATTACTGGAACAATAATAAACTTCATAAAGTTGGACATTTGCATATAATTGTGATAAGAAAGAGGTCTGCATATAGCAAAGAACCGATCTAGAGCCATCCACATCAGCAAAGTAGACTGATATGCAGCAACATACTGATTGCAAAATATTTGTATTAAACAGCCCACAAGTGAAATTCCATTCCAGTCAAATAAAAAGCTAAACAGCATATGTGGTACAGAAAACATTGGCATAAGCAAGTCCACAACAGCCATTACACCAATTAATGCAAACATCGGAGAGTGCAGAGCTCTCTGAGATACAATTAAATATATCAGAATGGAGTTAGAGGTGGTAGACAATAAAAGCATAAAGAAATATGGGATGAATAGAAAGCGCCGCCATTCTCCCAAAGAATAGAATCCATTCAATCTGAAAATTGTGAAAGAAATATTTTCTGCAGGAAGATCTTGTATGCTGCTCAATACCATGGTACACTGAGCATTTATGTTTTGAAAAGATATGTTCGCTACAGCTAACTACAACAGCAAGATACTGCAGTTACAGATTATTGATTTGATTCATTTGGATATTTCAGTGTTTTGGTGCAACCATTATTACAATGCAAGCTGAATGCCAATAACATTATTATCAGTCTAGAATGATGTGTGGCCACCCATTATTAACACAGATAGAACTTTATAAATAATGATATTTAAATATGTTTTTGTGACTTGACACATACATTTGTGTTAAATAATTTCTAGATGGCTATTCTGAAATAATATTGTAAAGAAAGCTGTCAGATAGACACTTTACACATAAAACACTTTAAGCAGCTCTAAAAATCTTGCAGTTCATTTTATAACAGTAACAACAGTCAGTATCATATAAAGATGTATACTATAGTCTGTTTTGTGCAAAGCGACTTACAAGTATAATGGTCTTTTTAGAACACTGAAGTATTGCTCTTTGTACAGTCACATTTCACATATCCTCTTTTGCTTCCCTAACAGCTGATTAAAGCTTGACATTTGTCTCTGCTTCTATATACAGCCAGTCATGTTCTCATGGGGCTATGCTGTATTCCTACAGGCTTTTGTGCTGGAATGGAAAGCCCTGTTAATCTCCATTCCTTCTGCATCTCCCATCTACACACAGACCATACCCTGTCTAAAATTTAGTTTAAAGGGATGACATTATTCTATAAGCTTTTGAGAAAACAATTTAAGATTGATATGGAGTCATGTATATACAGGATCACCTGTATCCGCAATTCATTCCAATAAGGTAAATAAAAAGTAATTGTGGCATATTCAAAAGTTTGAACACCTTTCCAGTTATAAAGTCTCAATACTAATTCATTACACCTTAACTTATTCATTAGAACTAGTTATGCAAATCAAGATCTGTCATTAACTGTCAAACTGTCAAACTGTCAACTGTGCCAACTGTGTTTTATTTTGAAGGTTGGGCCAAAATAAGATTTGATGTAATAAGTGGGTAATAGTATAATACGTGAGTTGATATGGTGTAGCAGGTAACAATTCCAGCTGCAGACTGTGGTTTGATCCCCTGCCTGGGCAGGAATCTTATGTTATACCAATAAGAGTCTTTTTGTAAGACTTCCAAGACCACCTTGGCCTATCTCTGTAAAACATATGTCTGTATGTATGTATGTATGTATGTATGTATGTTTTTTGTGTGTGTGTGGGTGTGTGTGTGTATGTGTGTGTATGTGTGTGTGTGTTCTGGAAGCAAATTAAACATCTCCTTAGCATCTCTGTTGATCTTCAACATACTAAGCAAGCAATACAGCACAAGAATATTGCAGAGGAGTTCTGTAAAAAAAAATGCAAGAAAGAAAGACTCGCTGGCTACAAAAAGTTTGCAAGCTGTAACATCTGCCAAAGTGCATGTAACTGTTGCAAGTTTGGAACATGCTATTTTTAAGTTTAACTAAATATAAAGTAATTGTGATTTAATGTTTGTACAAATGTCTAAATTTTTTGTATACTTTAACATCCCGAACTCCTGCTAGGCCACCTCCAACCACTAGGAGGAGTTAGAGAACCGGGAGCTGATTCAGGCTGATCAGGTGCAGCTATGCATGCTCTACCTAAGGAGAGCTCTCCCAAAGCTCAATACTCAGTCTTGAGTTTATGCTGACAAGTGCATGTCTCTCTGCTGAGTCGGTAAATGGTATTCTCTCAGGTCTCGAGTTTTGGTACTTTGATACTTTGGGTTCTTTTCCAGTTGTTTTCCTTGTGTAAGCATAAAAAAGAAAACTTTGTGTTCTCTTCTGTTGACTACTTTCCTTATTTTTCAGAAACTTTTTATGAAGACACTGCTCTGGCATTTCTTTTGTTTGGCCTTAGCCTTCTCCCTTTTGTTTATCAGCTCTTCTGCAAAGGATTTCCTCAGCATTGCCATGGAAGCTTAGTGGTAACACAAGGTTGTGAGTTTGAGTCTCACTCTGTGCAAGCTTGCATGGGAATTGCCAGTTTGATTATCCTGTGTGATAAGCCAGCCACCACGTCACAGCAAGACTGAGCCAGATCATGGACTAAGCAGTCGCAATAGAACAGCTACATATTGCACTAGCTATCCAGGGTGTAGCGATTGGCCATCCTAAACTGTTCTGTGGCAGATACTAACCCAGCTGTTGCCCTGCCTGTTGTGGTTCCTCCTCCAGAGATTCCATCAGCAAGTTAATCTAGTTCTCAAACTGAACCTAATCTGCCTTCCCCAGAACAGTTCAATGGTGAACTAGGCCATTGTAGGGGGCTTCTCCTACAATGTGAACTAGCCGTCTAGCAGGAGCCCTCAAGGTTCCCCACTGAGCATTCTAAAGTAGCATTTATCATCATGCTGGTAACTCCCGTTTGGGAGAACAAGTTTACCACATATTCCCCCTCAGAGCTCCCGGTCATCTCCCATCCAATGTACCAAGTCTACCAAGCAGCCCATGCAGTTGGGAGATACCTGCCTTTCTCATCAGGAGCACGATACTCATATGCAAGAGGGCAGTTGTCTTTACTGTGGGCAGCCCAGTCATTTCTGTTCTTTAAAAAGGCAAGGGTCCATTGCAGGAAGGGGGATCTGAGACAGACTCAGGCCTATCACCCAAGACTTTTTGCCTTTTCCTTACTGCTACTCTGGCTAAAATCCTAAACCAGGCCCTAGCTAATCTGGAGACCTCTGTATCAGTTTTAGCCCTTAACAGTTGCCCTCTGGGGTTGGGCCAGGTGAGCCAGCAGACCCAGCTTGTCACCCTGCAGATAGGTCAGCACAAGGAGCAGATTTCATTGCTGCACATCCAACACCTGAGTTGCAGCTAGTATTAGGGTTCCCCTGGCTGCAACAGCATAATCTGACTTGTCCAGATGTCCCTCTAAGTATCCAAGTTTTACCTCCACACAGGTCCATTGACTATGCCATTGACATCCACCCAGGCAGCACACCACCTCGATGGAGGCTGTATTCTCTTTCTGGTCCTGAGAAAACAGCTATGGAGAAATACATCAGGAAGACACCAGCACTAAGGTTCATTTGACCGTCCACCTCACCAGCCAGAGCCATTTTTTACGAAAAAGGATGACAGCCTTCAGCCTTTCATTGACTATAGGATAGTTAACCAGACGAATGAAATGAATGAAAAGGTCACTATGAGAACCTTGAGATGCCTTTCAGTTTAATGAACACTCCTGCTGTCTTCCAACCCTTTATTAATGAAGTTCTGCAAGAAACTCTTAACCACTTTGTGTTCATCTACCTAGATGACATCCTCATCTACAGCTGCTATGTGGATGAGCACATAGTTCATGTTCGCCGAGTAGTCCAGCTACACCTCTGATATTGGCGTAGGGGCGGTTCTGTCCCACCGCTCCATGGACGACCGTAAGCTACACATTTTCATCTCACTCTTGCTGAACGCAACTATGATGTCAGGGATCATGAATTGCTAGTGCTCTGAAGAAATGGAGACGCTGATTGGAGGGTGCCAAAAATCCTTTCTTGGTCTGGACAGATCACAAAAATTTGGACTATATCCAGCAGGCCAGACGGCGTGACACACTCTTTAGACAGTGGGACACAACACTTGTTAATTTGTCTCCAGAGCCTATCATTCCAGAAGCCTGAATTGTACCTCCGTTATGCTAAGGACTGGAAACTGCCATACAGGACGGATGGGTTGGGCCCCCTGGAAGGCAGTATGTACCTTCTTCTGTTAGGGCCCAGGTTCTCCATTGGGGGCACTCCTCCCCTTTTGCTAACCACCTGCCTTGGACAAACTTCCCTCTGTCAAAGAAACTTCCAAGCTGCTATTATAACACATGGTTAGAGCCCATGGGTTTCCAAGGGACATGGTGTAGGACCATGGGCCCCTGTTCACCAGCCAGTTTTGGAAGGCATTCTGTCAGTTACTGGTGGTCTCTGTAAGTTTGTCCTTGGGCTTTCACCCTCAGTCTAATGGGCAGACTGACAGAATAAACCAGGACCTCAAAAGGACGATGTCAGTGGGCTTGGCAGAAGGCCTTCATTGCACTGCAAAAAGCCGCAGGAGTGGAAAACAGCAACTGAACATAAACAGCGACTACATCCCTTGTTTCATCCCAGACAGTGAGCCTAGCTCTCCACTAAGGACCTACAACTGAAAACAGAGTCCCAGGAGCTTGCCCCGCGATATGTGGGATCCTTCAAGCTGATAAAATGGGTTAACCTAGTATCCTACCAGCTTCTCCTCCCCTGCACTATGTGCATAAACCCAACATTCCATGCCTCTCGTCTTAAGCCGGTCCTCTGTAGCCCCCTAAATTTGACCCCTGGCCCTCCACCACCACGTTTGATCGCTGGATCCCTGGGTTACACTGCCTAGTGATATTTGACAACCATAATTGAATTTGATAATTGATAATTGACTGGTGACACCCATGGTGGTAACCAGCACTTGGTGGACTGGGAGGGACATGGGCTGGAGGAGCAGTGCTGGGTCCCGGTCGGTGTCGTCGAAAGATACAATGTGTCAGGTTTGGGAACATCAACAGCCATTCCTAGAGGGAAGGGTACTGTGACATCCTGGTCTCCTGCTATGCCAACTCCAACCACTAGGAGGAGTCAGAGAACCAGGCCAAGTTGATTGCCTATACAATTATCACAGCATCTCCATAGAACCATTTGTGCAGATCCTGAAGTTTGCAGATGACATAACTACGGTCAGCCTAATCGCTGTTGGTCAATGTGGAAAATGCTAACTTTGGATTTAAAGTTTATTTAACTGGCATACTGTTGCAGGTGGTTAACTAGGCAGTGAAATATCAGTAGGTGTGCTATACAGTTTTGTTGTCCTAATTCACATAGAGTGTAATTGTAAATATCTGCAAAAAACAGAAAAGCCGAGATTCATATAAGCTTTGGCTACTTCGATGTTGTAACATGTACAATATTGATCACACACAATCCTGTTTCCAGAACAATTGGGGCAGCACCGTTTTCTCCCTGTAACGGCATCTCTTTCTCAGCTTCTATCCGCTGCAGTAACGTTAGTACTGAAGTAATGAATTTCATATACCCATTTATTTATTCACCACCTTAAGATGCTTGATGCAGCTACGGTCATGGTAGTAGTTGGGAAAGTAGAGATTCCTAGATGACCCTGTCCCCTGCAACTTCTTCCAGTTCTCATCCCAGTAGGCCAGGCCTGGTAAAGTCAGGGATCACCCTAATCAGATGCCAAAACCACCTCAACTGGCTCCTCTCAATGTGGAGTAGTGGCTCTACTTTGAGCTCCTCCCGCATGACCAAGCGCCTTACCCTATCAAGTAGAGTGTAGCCCACCACCCAGCAAAGAAAGCTCATTTCCACCGCTTGGGTCCATGATCTCATTCTTTCAGTCATTGCCCAAAGCTCATGACCATAGGTGAGGATTACTGTCCCAGCGTGTGGCAGATCTCACAAGCCCTCTTCCAATCACTCATGAACAAGACCCCCAGATATCTAAACTCTTCCACCTTGGGCAGTTCCTTCCCCTGGAGTGGGCATGCCATCCTTTTCTGGGCTAGGACCATGGACTCTGGCTTGGAGGTGCTGAGCCACATACCAGCCACTTCACACACAGCTGTAAACTGCTCCAGTAAGCACTGAAGGCATCCATGTGATGGATCCAAAAGTACATCATCATCATCTGCAAAAATCAGGGATGCCACCCCCCGGCTTCCACACATGAAGTCCTCCTGACCTATGCCTTGACGCCCAGTTCATAAATATCACAAACAGAAGTGGAGACGAGGCACAGTCTTGGTGCAGTCCTTTACTTAATGCCGAGAATACAGACACAACTCTCACTCCAGGAGTACAGAGACTGAAAGGCCCGGAGTAGTGACCACGACACCCCAAACTCTCAGAGGACCTCCCACAGAATATCTCAAGAAACATAGTCGTAAGCCTTCTCCAAGTCTACAAAACACATGTAGACTTGGTTGGCACACTCCCATGCCCCCCTCAAAAGCTGGTCCATTGTTCCACGGTCAGGATGGAATCCGCATTGTTTCTGAGCAGTGAACACAAGATACCATGTACCCTGGCAGGGAAAGGGTTACTGGGATCTAACCCTGGAGCCAGGCCTGGGGGTAGTGTTCTTCGGCAAGCGCCTGGTGGTCAGGCAGCCCATGTAGTGCGTCCGGCCTCAGCCCAAAAAGGCATTGTTGGGGGACCATGTGTGCCCACCACACCTAAGGTCCAGTGTGGGAGACTGGTGCAATGCCATATAGGTGGGACACACAATTCAAATAAGGGAAAAGTGTTTTGACTTTCATAAGTCGTTAAGAAATGGCCATATAAAATAGCTACTCACCTAAAAAAATGCCCATATCCAGAGTTAGGGCAATAATAAAAAAACTTCCAATCACCTGGAACTGTGACAAACTTGCCTGAATCAGGACTCGTTTATTTTGCCCCACGTACTGAGTGGGATGGTAAGTGAGGCAAAAATTAATTTAACTAATTTAAAAAAATTATTAATTTCATTTGTTGTGAAGTTAAAAAAAAAGTAGCATCTTGGGGTCACCAAGTCTTCATAACTACCATTAGATGCCACCTTCATGCCAATAGCTTATTTGGAAAGCATGCCAGGAAAAAGCCTTTCCTTTCATCTAGCTACAAATGTAAGTGCCTGGAGTTTGCTAAACGCTACCAGGACTTTCACTGGAACAGTGTTCTAGGGTCAGATGAAACAAAAATTTAGCTTTTTGGCAACAATCAAGGTGGGTTTAGTGTCAAAAAAAGGGTGACTACACTGAAAAGAACCTGTTGCCCACTGTTAAGTATGGCAGAGTATCTGTGATGCTGTAGAGCTGTTTAAGGCACCAGGAACCTTGTTCAATTGAAATCAAAATCTGTCTGCCTCTACCAAAAAAACTAAAAATGGGTCATTATTGGATCTTCCAGCATTTAACTGAATCTGAAGGAGAAACATTAGCTAGACTATTAAACCTATTAAAAATTACTGACCCAAAAACACACTTCAATGTGTGAACAAGGGTAAACCACCAGGTTTAGATAGAATCCCTATTCAATCTTATTTAACTTTTTGGATGGAGCTGGGCCCCCTTCTGTTAAAAATTATACATTTTTCAGTCGAGCACGACGAAGTTAATATACCTGTTGGGGCAGTCATGGGCTGGAGGTTAGGGAACCAGCCCTGTGACACGAAGGTTACCAGTTCGATCCCCAGAGCCAACAGGACAGGGCTGAAGTGTCCTTCAGCAAGGCACCTAACCCCCAACTGCTCCCTGAGCACTGTGGATAGGGTGCCCACCGCCCTAGTGTGTCTGTTCAGTAGTATGTATGTGGTGTTTCACTGCACAGATGGGTTAAAATCAAAAGAATATATAATGTAACATGGGGTGTTTCTTCTGCATGCAACTTTACATAGCACCCTTCTCAAACTCAAGTATGCTTTGCAATTACAGTGCTACAAATCAACAGCAAATCTCACACTCACACACACTCACACACTCACACACACACTCACACACACACACACACAGTTCCCAACATGGTAAGTTAATATCTTTCAGCTTTTGTTCTCATTTTTTTTTATTTATTTCTCAAACCCAAACACTTTAACAATGCCTGTTTATACAGACTGTCCACACTTACCTTTGCATTTTCCTCTGTTACTTTCAAATGAATGATTCTCCAAGACAGGCTTTTTGATGAATTTTCAAATTATTTAATTAATTTCACGTTAGAATGTTTTCCTTATGTTTAGGTAACTGGTAAATTGCAAGATAACTTTTTAGTTAAAATAAATCAAAGAGTCACTAACATATCAATTAAAGTAAAACACATAAAGGAGAGTCTAAACTTAAGGACACAATAGCTATTTATGCAGCATTTATTGTAAGCATTTTTGAAAATGTGGCCACTGAACAGGTTTGAATAACAATGCTGCAGCCTACATAACTGGATTAATGTGATAAAATTTTCACATGGTTAAAGAATTTTAAAAACTGCTGCCTTATTTCTTTTGTTCTTATTCCATAAATAATTGGATTGAAACAGCTTGGAAAAAGTGTGTACATTGTACTAGCAAAAATACGGCTGTTTGGAGAAAAATTATTTCTAATTCTATATGACAAAAAAGCTGTCAAAACAAATACTAAACTAAAAGTCATAACGATTATATGTGTAATACAAGTGTTGATGGCCTTCATGCTGGACTTGCCTGATTTCATTACAGAAGCAAATATTATTACATAAGATACAGTAATAAAAACAAAATCTGTAGTTGGTATTAGAAGAGCAGTTGCAAGCCCTAGTAAGTTATTAATAGAAGTATCTTCACATGCCAGTTGGATCAATCCCATGTGTTCACAAAAACAGTGATCTATCTCATTCTTCATACAAAAATGTAGTTTTCCAGCCAAAGAAACCACTGCAACATTTAAGAGTATATTTCTAATTACTGGAACAATAATAAACTTGAGAAAGTTGGACATTTGCATATAATTGTGATAAGAAAGAGGTCTGCATATAGCAAAGAACCGATCTAGAGCCATCCACATCAGTAAAGTAGACTGATATGAACCAAAAAATTGAGTGCAAAATATTTGTGCTAAACAGCCCACAAGTGAAATTCCATTCCAGTCAAATAAAAAGCTGAGCAGCATATGTGGTACAGAAAACATTGGCATAAACAAGTCCACGATGGCCATTACACCAATTAATACAAACATTGGAGAGTGCAGAGCTCTCTGGGTTATAATTAAATATATGAGAATAGAGTTTGAGGTGATAGACATTAAAAACATCAGAAAATATGGGATGAATAGAAAGCGCCGCCATTCTCCCAAAGAATAGAAACCATTCAGTTTGAATGTAGTGAATGAAATATTTTCTGCAGGCAGATCTTGCATACTGTTCAACACCATGGTATAATGATTTAAAAAAACATGCTCACTACTGCTAACTACAACAGTAAGATTTTTACTACTATCAATAAGTGATGATTTGATTCATTTGAATATTCCAGATTTTGGTGCAACAACTACTACAATGCTAGCTGAATGCCAATGAAAACGTTACCCATTATTACTTAAGATTAGCAATATTTCCTTTATAAGAAATCATCCATCCCTTACAAAGACATATATAAACTTAATAAATAATGACCTTCAAAATTGTTATGGCTTTTCACATTCAACACATGTTTTTTACATAATCGTTTAAACATGGCTATTTTGGAATGATGCTGCAATGAAGCTGTATGATAGAGAATTACTTTTAGAAGCTCAAAAATTTTGCAGTTCACTTCAAAACAGCAAAAATATCAAAATTCAATATTAAACAAAGGCATATACTATACTGTTTAGTGCAAATGCACTAAAAATCATTTTCTCTTCAGAACACTGAATTGAAGTATTGCTCTTTGCACAGCCAAATATCACATATCCCCTTCTGCTTCCTTAACAGCTGATTAATGCTTGACGTTTGTCTCTGCTTCTATATACAGCCAGTTATGCTCTCATGGGGCTATGTTATATTCCTACAGGCTTTTGTGCTGGCATAACAGACCCCTGGTAATCTCCATTCCTTTTGCATTTACCAGCTACAAATATATACACAATAAATAAGCCTCTATAAACAAGGCTTTTAAAGCATGAATTTGAGTATAAAGGTTTAATATTTTTCTTTAAGCTTTAGGGAAACACTTTGATCTCCACATGAAGTTGTGTTTGTCATGCTTCCCAAACTGTATGCTTATATTCTATAGACTTCTGGGATCACAAAGACAGTCTCTCAAGTTATACTTCTGATCATAATGATTTCCTAATAGTTGAGATATATGCTGGGGGTGGGGCTGGGGGTTCTGATGCATTCTGATACAGGGAAAATTCTGACTTTCCTAAAATTTGAATCTTCCGAACTGTTCAGATGGTTGCAGTGCTTGAAATTTGTTGAGGGTGTGATTTCTGAAAGTGTAAAGTAAAATGAGACTGTAAGAATGCCAACAGCACAAGGAATCATTTCATTATGGGACAAGCAGTAAGAGGGCTTGGCTTAATTGGTCAAACAACCATGGTCAAGCTGGAGGGGTCTGTAGACCTTTTGTGGCGTAACCATTTTGATATTCCCTACCGCAATCTCCCTAGGCATCAGCATCTCATTAGATGCTTCTGGCACTTAATGGTCAATGCTCTTTCTTCCTGAAAGATCAGAGGAGGCACACTGGGGCCTTTGGTCCAAGTCAATAGGTGGCAAGTTTCTTCCATTATCTCACTTACCACGCCTTGGCTTTGATATTATAAATCATAATATCTGAGTTTAACATGCTGATAGGCATGAATGTAGAGCAGGGTTGAAAGTTTCTGTCTGAGCTGTATATTCTGAACATCTCAGGAATCCGAAGTAAGTGAGGAGAAAAAGGCCTTCTAATGTAGTGGATAGTTCTTTGGGGAAGAGACCAGTGTGGAGAGCCTGAATGCAGTGGTGGAGGATGTCAGAGGTTCAGGGCAGCTGATGTGGTGGAAGGCGAGGTTCGTTTCTTTGGATTTCTTTTAGTAAAAGTATGATCTGAGGGTGGTTAGCTGTTGTGTGTTGGGTTCCGTTGATAAGCTTCATAAAGAAATTGATCCTGGCTAAATACACTCTTAAGGTGGAAGAGCGAATGGCTAAATATGAACTGGCAAATGTGAGGAAAGCAGCTGTCGTTGAAAGATTGTCTGAAGGGAAAGGGATGCTATGGAGTGCATGGAAGCGCTGGAAAGATTTCCATCCAGACCAACAGGTCGACAGGGTACGAGCTTGGAGGAGGAGCTGAAAGAAAATGAGAGAGAGAGTCAACAAAAGCATTCGAATGGCCTGGGATGTGAATGGCTCAAAGAATAAACTGATTTTGGATTGAGTGCCAAGTAAGGCGACGTAGGAATGGCATGAGTGTTAGGGATGTAGAACGTCCTTTGTTGATTATATGAACAACTGCAGAGTTGTCTGAGTGGATGAGAATCACTCGTCCTGTCGATTCATGTCCCCAAACGAGTGCAGCGATGACAACTGGGTAGATGATTTGAGGGAAAGCAATGCAAACTCCAGAGGCCAAGGAGAAGCAAACCAGCGGCCACCATAGAAGCCTATCGAGGGAGCTGCATCAGTGAATAATTGCAGATCTTCAGGGACTAGGATAATGTCTTCATAGAAGAAATAGATGCCATTCCAGTGCTGGAGGAGGAAGAGCCAGAAGCAGAGTTTCAAAATACATGCATCATCCAGGGAGAGGCAGTGTTGGAGTGAGGGAACCGAGGAGGCAATGCTGAGGAGGTGGGAGATAAACAAGCGTCCTTGAGGTATTATTCGAATTGCATAATTGAGATGCCCAAGAAGAGAGAGGGGCTGGAGCTTCGAACAACGAGGCTGCAGCACAAATTCTGACAGGGCGGTAGTAATGCAATCCGGCTTATCAGGTGGAAGGGAAGCCTGGAACAAGACTGAGAGAGGGGGACACCGAGACGCTGAAATGCAGAGGAGAGGGTACAGAGGCCATACGCAGGTGGGGAGGAAGGGGAGACCACCACAAGGAAGTCATTGAGGAGGCGGAGCATGTAGGGTAGTCTGCAAACATTCAGCAAGATCCAACACAAGGCTTCAACCAGGGTGTCGAAAATCTTGGGGCTGCTCTTGCAGCCGAAGGCGAGACAAACTGCAAAGTAAAATCTGCCTTCCCAGAAAACTCCAAACAGATGCCAAAAATCGGGGTGCAGAAGGAGGATCCTAAAAGCTGAGATAATGTCAGCCTTGGCGAGCCAAGCTCCATGGCCGGCCTGCTTGATGAGCGATATAGCATTATGCACAGTAGAATAGTGGAGGGAGAAATCAGAGCTAGGCGTGAGACTGTTGATGGATGGTTCTGAGGAGCCATGAGGATCAGACAAATTGATGATGAGGCGTTTCTTGCTGGAGTATTTACGAGTGGCAACGCCGATAGGATTGACATGATAAGGAGGAGAAGCGAAAGGAAATAAAAGATGAAGCAAATAAGAGACGAAGGAATGATCAGGATGGAGGGTGAGGTCAGCAGCGAAGGGCAGGGACATTAGCAGGAGTAGAAAGATGCCGGAGTAGTCATTTGGGCTCAAACTTAGGAGGGTGAAGGGGACATCCAGATCTGGAATGAGCTTGGCCACAATGAGAGCAGACATGGAGCAATTTGCATGAAGAAGAAAAGCATCCAGCGGAGTTGAAATTATTACAGACCATCCGGCCCCCAAGGAAAAGCAAACGCTGCCCGCGGCTGTCGCGGGAACTGGAAGTCGTAAAGACAGGGGCCGCAGTGGGAGCAGAGGGCACGTTAGGGCAGGGAGTGGGAGGGGGCGGAGTAAGGAGAGTGCAGGAGGAAGCAAGGTGAGACGGGCAGCCGCAGAGCTCACAGGAGAGAGCAGTCTGACCAGCGAAAACACGACAGTAGAGCTCAAGATCCAGGTAGCCCCAGTATGTAGAAATGTTCCACTGCTGAAGATGGGCAGATGCGCGGGCCTAGAACAGACGATGGTACTAGTAGAAACCTGACCTTCCAAATTGAATGGCGAGGTCCAAGATGATGGAAAAATAGTCATTCAGATCCTGACGCCTAGATGGCAAGGCTGAACAGATGACATCACGGCACATGGAAAAGGTGAGGGTGAACTCAGGAATGGTGAGGACCTTAGAAAAGCAAGGTTCGGCACAATGGACGTAAGAGAAACGTCGCCGGCATCAATGGTACAGGAAGCACCAGAGGCAGCAGAAGGGCGAAGTAACGAGGGGAGACTGATGTCCGCACCTTGGAGGATCCGCGTACGCAGAGCAGAAGAGACAAGAGGTGGATTGAAGAGGTGGGCATCACCGGGCGGGACAGCAGGAGGTGCACCGTAGAGGGAAAACGAGGAGTTGGTGAGGAGGGGCCGTGGCTAAGCTGGCAGTGACTGCAACTGGAGACCTGGAACGGGATCAGAAAATGAGGCAAAAGGGCAAGCAGGGAACATCAGGAAAGACTGAGGAAATAGATATGAAGAAAAGGGGGGCTGGGATGATGAGGGAACAGGGAGGGACGATGAGGGGAGGGGTTGGGATGATGAGGGAACGGGAAAGGATGATAAGGGAAGGGGTTAGGATGATGAGGGAATGGGAAGGGATGATAAAGGGAAGGGATGGGATGATGAAGGGAGGGGTTGGTATGATAAAGGGAGGGGTTGGGATGACAAAGGTGGAAGCTGAGAAGAGAGGAAGAGACATAGCCAAAGATGGGGCAGAAAAAGGCTGGGAAAAAATAGGGGGAGAGAGTCAAGAAAAAACAGAGCCAGCAAAAGAGGCAAGCTGCCTGGGAGCGGGACCAGGACATCCAGCATAGGACAGCACTTCTGTCGAGGAGGCATCCAGGGTGCCGGTGACGTCATCACGTGCCAGGGCTGTGGGGAAGGCAGGTGCTATTTACCCCCGAGAGACTGCACATACCGGGAGAAAAGTGCTGCCTTAGGCGTCATACGGGCGAAAGGAATGCGCCGTTCCCGAGTTTAGCCATGGTCCACTCGAAGATAGACGGAGGTCTTGATTTAGAGCCGGAAGGGTGCGGAAGCGCTGGAGCCAGGGGAGCCGCGGGAATTCTCGTCTCTAGACGTGCACGGAGACCACGCCGGAGCGGGTGGTGGATCCAGGGGCGAACGCTGGCTCCTTCGGGAGCCACTGCGTGCGGCACGAGAGCCATCATGGCGAGATGAGGAGCCAGAGGAAGCCGAGGCAGCAGGCATGTTAGGACCCGCAATGACAGACTTGAGCCACGGTGCAGGATCCCTGGGAGGAAAGATGCTGGCTTTCTCCAAAGAGGTCATCGTCAGAAGCAACAATGTCGAGGTCCATGACAAGATGAGACGATAGCAGGTAAGTAGCACAAAGCTGGGTC